CCGGTCGCCTCCTGGGGAAGTGCAGTTGCTCTCTTCGGGTATCCCGGGGTTGCATGGTGGACCATGGGTGGGGGTGCCCATCTGGAGAGGGGGCCACTTCTGCTTGGAATACTCACAATTGGGCTTTTCTTTTCCTGAGGGCAAGCAGGAGCCCTGCTCCTCCTCCATATGCCCAGCTGCTCATCTCTAGGGACCAGCGGGGTTGGACAGGGGGCCCTGGCTGGGCCTTCTTCCTGTCTCTATTCCTTCTTCCAGCAGAGGATGGGGTGGGTGGGGTGGGGGTGGATAGTGGTTGATGCCAGAAACTGAAGGGGTAGGGTGGGGCAATAGAGGGCAGGTCCCGGCCTCCTTCACCTTGGGCAGATGAAATGAAAGCACAAATGCTGAGCTGAGGTGCAGCTGTGATTTCAGGGTGCCTCTACTGGGGAGGCTGCTGTGATTTGAAAACCTCGTTTCCTCGGGTGACTGTTTCAGAAGGCTGTGGATGAATCGTGCTGGTGAGTACCTGGTCCTTGAGGCATCCCAGGTGGGGATTTACAGGTGTCCCTGTGTCTATTGTGACAGGGCCTCTCCTTTTTTTTTTTTATCCCACTACAGGGTACAAACCTACCCGGAGGCTTCGGGCCTTGGGGGGCCTGGCTGGAGGTGCAACACTCATGGCCCTCTGGCTCCGTTGGCTGCTGGAATCAGTTCCTGTGGATGCTCCAATGCCTCAGCCCACAGTCACCATCCTTATCTGGCACTGGCCTTTCACCAACCGGCCCCCAGAGCTGCCTGGTGACACCTGTACTCACTATGGCATGGCTAGCTGCCGCCTGAGTGCTAACCGGAGCCTGCTAGCCAGTGCAGATGCTGTCGTTTTCCACCACCGTGAGTTGCAGACCCTGCAGTCTCGCCTGCCCCTGGACCAGAGACCTCAGGGACAGCCTTGGGTCTGGGCCTCCATGGAATCGCCCAGCAACACCCATGGTCTCCATCACTTTCGAGGCATCTTCAACTGGGTGCTGAGCTATCGGCGTGATTCAGATATCTTTGTACCCTATGGTCGATTGGAGCCCTACTCTGGGCCTACACCCACACTACCGGCCAAAAGCAAGATGGCTGCCTGGGTGGTCAGCAATTTCCAGCAGAGGCAGCAGCGTGCAAGGCTGTACCGGCAGCTGGCCCCTTACCTGCAGGTGGATGTGTTTGGACGTGCCAGTGGACGGCCCCTGTGCGCTAACTGTCTGCTGTCCACTGTGGCCCGGTACCGCTTCTACCTGTCCTTTGAGAATTCACAGCACCGAGACTACATCACTGAGAAGTTTTGGCGCAATGCGCTGGCGGCTGGTGCTGTGCCCGTGGTGCTAGGACCTCCTCGGGCCACCTACGAGGCTTTTGTGCCACCAGATGCCTTTGTACACGTGGATGACTTCAGCTCAGCCCGTGAGCTGGCTGTCTTCCTTGTCAGCATGAATGAGAGTCGCTATCAGCGCTTCTTTGCTTGGCGAGACCGGCTCCGTGTGCGGCTCCTAGGTGACTGGAGGGAACGCTTCTGCACCATCTGCGCCCGCTACCCTTACTTGCCCCGCAGCCAGGTCTATGAAGACCTAGAAAGTTGGTTCCAGGCTTGAATTCCTGCTGCTGAGAGAGACTGTGTGTGTGAAAGGCTGATGTTGTAATCAAAGCACTAGGCATCCAGCCTCTTGGGTCACTATGGGACTAGCCTGAGGCTTGAGTTGGTGAACAGGACGCAGGGATAGGAGGAGAGCAGGGTGGGCAGGAGAAGCCATCTGAATGAGGAAGTTGGTAGACTTTAGGGATCCCGGGAAAGGGACAACAGAGTGGAAGGAATTAATGGGCATATCCTACAAGCTAATGAAACAGGAAAGGCAGTTGAGGGTTCCCAACTTACCTTGAACATGCCCATGCTCAAAGCTCAGATGAAACAGGCAGTATTTCTGGAGCTGGGAACATCCCAGGCTGTGACTTTTGGGTATAAAACTTTAGGTCCCTGAACCCCCACAGAAAAGGTGCTAGCCTTAGGGGTGCAGGTGCATTTTCTAGAACTCTGGGTGTTGACCATATGCTGGGTTCAGGGGCATGTGTGTGGAGAAAGGACAGTGTGGCTGATTCTGGACTTTTGTCACTACAGTCACCCCCAGGGAAAGAGGTGCCACTAATAAAGACACTGACACAAATCTCCTGGGTCAGGTCTATGAGGCAGCAGAGGCCACCAGCCAGCCCTCCTCTGCTTATTCTTCTCCATCAGTCACAGGGTTTCTTGTTTCTGCCAACAGCCTTGACACCTTACCAGGAACCCTGGACACTCCACACCCTTCCTGGGTCTCCAAAGCCCCTGGTGGGAACTGAGGTCAAATTTAGTTGGGGCTGGAGGTGCGATATGCCAGGTCTCAGGTTGGAGGGGTGTCCTGTATGACCGGGCCTTATCCATGAGGGGATCCAGTGAAAACCCCGCTGTGGAAGGAGCCCCTTGTGTTGGGCTGGGGGTGAGGGGAGGAGACGTGGAGGTGAACTATGAGTGTATGACAGGTTGAGCTTCTGGCATGGGTTGGGACTTGGGTTTGTCCCTGCCTTGGGGGTAGGGTGGCAGTGCCGGCAGGAAGTCCCCCCCCCCCCCCCCCCCGTGGTTTGTGGGAAAGGTCTGCCCATGGCTTCCTGCCCTGACCCAGCCCCCTGGGCTAACTGAGGAGAAGTTAGTGTCCTGGGACTGGGGGCTGGGGAGAGCTTTGGGTCCTCTCCCATCAGCCCTGAGGGGACCTCTCCTCAACGAAGGAGCTGAGAGATGATGGGAAGCTTTAGCCCTCGAAGGTTTCCATTCACTTAAAGAGCATTCTGAGTGTCTCAGGCTGGACACTATACAGTCTCTACTGTCCCATTCACAGGTGGGAAACCCAAGCTGGTAAACAGCCATCACATGTCACCCTCAGGATGTCTCCTGATTGCAGGAGCTAGTGGCCCTCTTCTGCCCTCTGCCGGTCATGTGCAGAAATTGGTCCTGCAATGCTCCAACATCTCTGTAGACCCACCAAACACGAAGCTTTGTGTGCAGGAAGAAGCCAGGCTTACATGGATATAGGGGATGGGGTAACAAGTAAACCATGTATCGAAGGGACAGCCTGCCCAATCACCCCTGCCAGCATGGAGTACCTCTTGAGGTCCTTTTGTGCCTCCTCACTGTTAAGAGCAACAATCTGGGAAGGGTCAGCAGCCGCAACACATGACTCCTGTGAACTCTTCACACTTATGCTGTCTCAGCACCGTTTTGAATATAAACCCAACTTTCTCAGGCCAGAATTAGGGCGCTCTCACCCCTAGCAGTTCTCAGCCCTTCACGTGGTGCCTCTCTGTGCTTAGTAAGCACTCCTGCGGCACAGTCTGCTGAGCATCTCACCCGCCACCCGCGTGGAAGGCACACAAAGGCTGCAGTGAGCACTTCTCAGAGCCCCATGCAACCTTGTTCTAAAAGCAACTAAAACTCTGTGAGAAAGAAACCTATTTGGATGGCACCCTGGGTTCCCCAAGAGCTTGGTCCAAAAGCTGTCCCTACCTGCATATGTGTGTGTGTGTGTGTGTGTGTGTGTGTGTGTGTGTGTGTGTGTTTGTGTGCGTGTGCATGTGTGACCCCCAGGCGCTGTAAAGCAAAACGCAATCTTCACTTCCACCCGTGTCTCTCCTAACCACTCAAGGTGCCCAAAATTTCTCTGTTTGTTTGTGTTTAAACAGGGTCTCATGAAGCCAGACTGGCCCTGAATTCACTATATAGCCAAGGATAACCTTGAATTCCTGACCCTCCTGCCTCTGCCTTTTACCTTACAGGGAATGCACGGATGTGGTTGCCTCCTATTATTATTATTATCACTTTTTCATTTTCGGTTTTTGAGACAGGGTTTCTCTGTGTAGCCTTGGTTGTCCTGGAACTCACTCTGTAGACCAGGCTGGTCTCGAACTCACAGAGATCCACCTGCCTCTGCCTCCCGAGTGCTGGGATTAAAGGCGTGTGCCACCACCACCCAGTGGACTAGCTCTTCTTTAAATATCTAAGTCAAGTTATGCTTGTTGGGCTGCGTGTTGCATCCTGGAGCCTTGAGGTCACTGCTCACTCTACACAGATGGGATTCTGCTAATGGAGCAATGCCCCTCCTCTGGGAAAAGGGCCAACCTAGTGGTGGCCTGATGGGGACCAAGCCTCTTTCAGTGTTCCAAGAGGGACAGTGGAACATCTTGGGGACTCCACTGCACAAGTCTCCCAACTGGGGACACATATTTAGAGTCCCTTGGGAGAAGTATAGGGTGCCCAAGTTCTCCCCAGGCCTCGGAAAGGTGTGAACCCAAATTGATGCCTGCTGTGAGGAACCTTGGGAACACGGAATTACCTTACCGCT